GGAATACAAATCTTTACGAGAAATACACCTGTATCTCATTTCCTTCAAAGGATTAATACTCCTCGGAAACAAGGAGGACTTGGACCTATGAAGATTCCACTTCTTTCAGATTTGACACACCAGATTTCAAAGGATTATGGAGTATATCTGGAAGATCAAGGACATGCACTTAGGTATTTCACTTGGTTACAGTTATTTTTTGGGTTGGGTTTGGTGGGTTTTGGCTGGGGTAGTACTTATTATTTTATATTTTAAAAAGCATTTGAGAGCAGATTTTGCTTGGGGATTCATGCCAAGAGACAAAATAAACACTGAAGAACACAAAAAAAGAAAGTCACAATGAGTCAGAAGAGGGGTTGAGGTTAATATCCTGTTTAACAGCAGTCATCAGCAGATACCTAGGGCAGGGCAAACGGAATTCCCCAGAATTACAGTTACTCAGGGCCCTCCCAAGTCCAAGTGGAGTCAAGACTAAAGGTAAGTAATGGCCTCAAGAGATACATCTTTCATAAACTTGATTAGTTGCTTTTGGGACCCCTGTAACATCACAGCATCTGCAACATCCACCAGCAGGGCCTGTCAAAACATAGTTTTAGGTACTGCAGAGAAATAGCCTGTTTTGGTTTTAACTTATCCTCAGCTTGTGTCATCTGATATTCCATGTAAAATAATAGTAGGTTACTAGTATTCTAAGGTGTTAGGCATTGTATGGTGTTTGCAGAGATCAAATTCCTCCCATCCAGCAGACATAAAATAAACACAACACTGTAATTAGTTCTGTTTCCTAATGCTCAGCAAAAAACTGTTTTCACAGAGGCCTTTTCATTGTTGACGATAAGAGAATCCTTCGACAGATCACGATGAATGACCTTCCTGTTGGGAGATCAGTGGATGAAACGCTTCGTTTAGTACAAGCATTCCAATACACAGACAAACATGGAGAAGGTGCTCTTTTAAATACTTTCATGTTGAAAATTGGTTTACTTATACTGCAAGCTGTATTTGTAGCTTTTTGGAAGAAAGGTACTTGGTAGCATAGAGACTAGCCTCATGTAGTGAGTGAAGTGGTTTGATTGCCCTGCTACAAGGTCCCAGTATCTCCAGAGATTGCTTCTAGAATAGTAATTCACATTGTGCCTCACATCCATGAGAACGCAGTACATAAAGCATTCCTTAGTCTGAATTAAGGCATTATGTGCCATCTGTCACAAGCATAAATCTGCACAAAATACGAGGCCATGAAGAATCAGGCCCAATATTTCAGTACATTTGGCATACTACAATAATGGAGATGCGGGCCATCCTTGTCCTGTGTCATTCATTGAGGATCTGTGACAAGTAATTGAGAGTTATTCATGTCAAGATACATGGTGATACTGTGAAAGTTAGACCATCATTACTTGTATTTTCTTTGCAAGTGCCATATGATCATCTTTCCCTGACAAAGCAGCTTTCACTTCAGGATATTACTTTGCCTCAAGAATTCATATTCCCTCAGTTCAAGCATAAGGTGAACTTTTCACATTTCTTTAAATACTGAGTTTAATAAACACATTAATTTATTTAAAGATTTGTTTAAATATTGATTCGCATGTTCAGCAGCTTAACTTCTACTTCAGCTCAGTTTCACCCAGCATTTGAAAGTACCTTTATAGGAAGGTACGAAATCATCATTATGCTTTCCTGTACAGACTTAAAAAGATAAATGCTGATACTTAGGCTATACACAGTTCACAAAGGAAATTCAGCCTCATTGAGTTACCAAGTTGTCTTGCAGTATATTGATCTCCAGAGTAGCACATTTTTTTTCCAGCTTTTGCAGGAAGGCTGAGGAGAGCCTCCCTAGACATCTTATTGGATTCTTTGCACAGAGCAGGAGAAACAGTTCTCCACAATTCCTAACTGCATTTGTGGCATTTTGTCCAACAGCATGCCTGAAAAGCAGAGTAATATGGCATAACTTATTAGGGTAAAGCTCAGAGGGAGAGCTCTGAACAGAAAAGAACTTCACTACAGGAAGTTCAACTGTACAGGTGGTCACAGTAAGCATGTTAACTGCATCCTATAATCCCTTTACTCCTGAGCAAGGCTTCAAATAAAATCACTCAGTCTCTTATGGAATCTTTGAACTGATTTTCTTTGCTAAAAATTTCCCCTAGCACTGGTTTTCAAGGAATGTAGGTCTCTGTGTGGTCACCTGAATTCTATTAAGAAACTTTTGTTTCTACTAGAACAGGTGTTCATTCTTGGATACTGCTTTGCCAGCACTTTGTCTAGAAGGGCATGAGAATTAAAGGAAGGCATAGATACCCATCCAGAGATAGGCAGTTCCCAGTTAACAGAAGTGGTAGGTGGTATCAGGCATAAACTGTTATAACACCATCCCATGTATAAAGAAAAAGGCATATTTAATAGTTACATATATTTACATGTGATGCTTGTGTGCTCTTTTATTTCAAGTTCAGAAAGAGAATATTAAGTGCACAGAAGTAAGTGTGTGTAAAAATACTTTTACTAACTTATTCCTTTTTTTATTCCCAGTTTGCCCTGCTGGTTGGAAACCTGGCAGTGAAACAGTAAGTCACTGCTTATGTTTAAATGCATATACTACTAAAAACCACCCAGTTACCACTTCCACTAAAGCTAAACCCAAAATCTTTGCAACTTTCAGTCAGATGATATGAGTAAACTCACATTATTACAGTTACAGCTTTCGGGTTACTACTGATTTCATTAGGAGCTCTATTATGTCTAGTGTGGAATTATTATTTCCCTCATAATAGACATATTCCAGTTGTTTCAAATTCCCCGTGTGTGAACAAAGCTTTCTTGAGCAGCAATGAGTTTGTGCTCAAGAACTTGTTTCCTGTTAACACCTGATGGAAGAAGTTGGGAACTCTTGAGTCTGTCCTGTCTTCTCAGGTTTTGTCCATATAAATTCTTCTTTCTGTCAAGTCTTACTGTGGATCCTAGGCACTACCCAAAAAAAGAAAGATACAAGTTCCAGGCTGCTGTAGTATCTGACAGAGCCAGTGTGGCATTAGAGCTCCAGCAGAGAGCACTGCTTTGCTGCACAACAGCTCATCCTCCTTTGCTACTACTCGCCTACATGTGACATGACAAGCAGAAGAGTGAGAGTTCAGATAAACACCCATTTAAAGTGTTCTCTGGCTTAGATCAAGCCTCAGCAGAATAATGAAACTTTCACTAGAGGGCTGAGCTGCCTAGTTCAGATGAGCTCAGTGTCATTTGTTTGAGCATGTGGCTTTCTTCTGAACCATCTGGTGACGACAGAGTTGTTGTTTAAGAGCTGTCTCAACCAAAAGCAGGTCCCAGCAGCCTCTAGGCAGAGTAGCGAGCATTGTACTTGATAGTAAAAACACCGGAACGTTAAAAACGCTGTTTCTTTGCTGGAGGACTTCCCAGGATGACTGGAGGCTAGGAATCACCTCTTTCAAGCTAGCAGAGGAGCATAGTCAGAGAAGCTGGATATTAAGACTATAAAATGAAAGAGGGCTGGCTGGCCTAACAAATATATTTTGGCACTGGGAAGTTCTGCCCTACATAACCGTGGATCACCTAAATAATATGACATGAACATATTTTCTAAAAAACAGTCTTAGAATGCTGAGATTAACAGCTCTAGTACTATCAGTTTAAAAATCTAGAACAATACATAAGCATTCTCTTTCTCCTCTGTGCAAAAGATGTACATAATGTAAGTAGCAAAGTAGTCCAAAAAGCCTGTCTCAAAGATGTAGCCATGCCTTCTAAATGTGTTTGGTTTAATTAGATCAAACCAGAGGAAGCCATGAGAGTGTGGTGGCCAAGGGAAGAACTGTAAGTAAATCCTAAGACTCCTGATTACAGATGTTAATTGATTAAAATATCTTGCTCTGGGGGCAAGGAACATACATGTACATGCCCCCAACTGCCAGAATTCTTCCTTTGGTAGGCTGCACTCTCTCTTCCCCCAGTCAGTTAAATCTTTCTGCTGTTAAGTACCTTTGGAAGTAAACGGTAATCTAATATCAAGTCAACTGATAAATTACTTTCCACTGTTGTTTGTGGGATGGCTTAACCCCATATTCTGAAATATGATGTTGTTCTGGTTTTATGGTTTGTTGTGCTTGCGTGGCTTTGGGTTTTGACTAACATTTTCATTTTCTTTCTTGCACAGATAATTCCAGATCCAGCTGGAAAACTGAAGTATTTTGATAAACTAAACTGAGGCTCACTCCTGTTGAATTATATAGGTCACATTCCATTTGATTTTGCCAATAAAATTTCATTAATTTTGTTACTTTCCTGAGTTTGACTAATATGTAACTGCAGTAGACTACTGAAGGTCTTGTTGCTTAAATAGGAAACTAACAAGTCCAGGTTAAGCAGAACTCCACTGAGCCCAGCCTCCCCATCCATCCCTGCAAGGCCTGCAAGGGGAGAGGAGTTCCTAATCTCATCTAGAGGGTAAGGGAGGCACCCAAGGCTGGTACTGTGCTGCCCAGCCCCTGTGATCTCAAGAGAGCAGCATGTAAAAAGGCAGTTTCCCACATTACTAAGCTGTAAATCAGCTGCTTGAATTTTACTCAGGATTTTGTTTACAGCTTTTACCAATCCCGAAACACCAAAAAGCATGAACACAGAGAACATTCAAATAACCACGCAACTGCAGCGTGATGAACACAAGCCCAGCTGTTACATGGCTATTCATAAGCAGCCCAAGGCACAAAAACATAACACTCGTACCTGGCCTAGGAATGGTGCTTGTGCCCTGAGCTGAGAAAATAAAACAGGACTGGAAACACCTAGTGGCAGGAAAACCAAGGACATTTGCACACCTTGAACGTTACAGCAGTGTAGCTATGTCAAATATGACATTTAGAGGGCCCCAGCCCTCTAAACGCATATGGCAAAGGAATGATTAGCTAAGGAACTGGGTTTTTTTAAGAAAGCAGTTTAATGGGGATGAAAAGTCTTAGGGAAATAGTCGTTAAGCAAAGATCTGAGTGACAACTTGAAATGAAAGATTATGTATATAGAAAAAGAGAAGGGGGTTTTACAGAGATTTGGATATGGTGATGCAGAACTTTAGGAGAGAAAAGACTGGGGAAAAAAGTGTTTGAGGGGGGAAAGATGAGAGTTGGCCAGGGCAACAGGGTGGAAACAAAGGCAGATTCTCAGTTACACAATGCCTCCAGGAAAATGAAGCCAAAAGAGGGAAGACGAGATCCCTGAATGAAAGAATAACATTGGAAATTTGGTGGAGGGGGAGGAAGAACTGGGAAGTCTGTGGGTATGGAATCATTAGTATTTCCAGAGGTGCGAAACAAATGTCAAGCTAAGGATTTTGCTTACTGTTACCTACAAAAGTTAGTGCACTGTAGCAGTGCAGAAACTTACTCCTTTTCCACACGCACATCACTAATTCTTGCCAAGTGCTCCAGTGTATTTTCTATGCAGGTATCTTCATCCAACTACAGCTTCCACAAAAGGAGTCCCTGGTTTCTCTTTCATGAAACCTAAGTATTTGCCCTTTTATTTTCCTGTGAGCTAGTGCCTAGCCCATGAAGAGGCAACCTCTTCCACAACTAGTTAAAAATGCATTTAGAGGAGTCATTACTGTGCCACCAAGCAAAGGCTGGACTGAATGTGCAGTACAACCAGTTAAGCATGCAGTAGGTTTAGAGCATGTTTCTGAACTGAAACATGCTGCACCAGCCCAGCAAGCTTCTTCCCAGAACACTGCACACCACAATGTGGCTGCAAAGGAACCACGCGTATTTGAAGAAGGGCTACCAGAAACTGTTACAGTAAGTCTGAGAAAGTCATTTTATTGATTTCAAACACGGAAAAAAATAAAACCATTTGAAACAAAGTGCTTTTTCAGGCACTGAGCTCAGCCAGTCCCACAGTAATCTTCTTTGATACCACCACTAAGTGAGAAGGTATGGGGAGGCAATCCAGCTAGCACACACTTCCTCCTCCTTGCTGTATTCTAAGACGTGATGGGCGCAGAAACATTTCACTGCAGAGCCACAGCCAGTTACACAGAAAGGCTCACTACAAGTAAAAATATTTTCTACTGATACCTTTAGGCTTGTGTGTTAATGGTTTAGCCACTGGCAGCAGTGATGGGTTGGCCAGTAAGTTGCAACATAAGCTTAACGTTTTGTTAAACATTTTAACTCTGAATGTGAGATCCAAGAACAATTTTCTCTCACACACAAAGTTACAGAGTGACATGCATAAATAACACCTTTGAACAAAGACACGTTTAGCCTCTTATCAGAGAGGGTGGTAACTTAGAGTTACCTTCTTGGAGTAAAAAAATATGCGAGCACATACTCCTCATCTTTCTGTTTACTGCTGTATATATTTTTGTATCTTTTACATATGTGTCTACATATACACACACATTCTGTATGAGTGTACATACATTTCTGTATCTACTGTGATTGTGGTATGTGATTAAGTTATGATGAACTTTGAAAACACACTAATTCTTCTAAGCATCTTCATCTGCAGGACTCATTTTCTTCCCACTCTTGCTCCCTACCTATTTTTTGCCTCTTCAATCCCTTCTCAAGGGCTGAATTGAGGAAGTTATGACAAATACAGCTGAAAAGGCATTAGCTGAAGAACTTGGTACCCCATTAACTTAAAAGTGTTACACAAAAGTGACCCAGGTAGGACCACTGGGTTGATGTAATCCTGCAGAGTCAGGAATAACACATAGCTGTGACATAGATCCCTCCACTTCCTGCCTTCCAGAGTTTCAGTTCTTTGTGTGGTCAATTAAGTACATTCACCTTCAAAAGAGTTTTTTAAAAAGGAGAAAAACAGAAAATACAATATATATCCACAGTGTTATAACCGTAATAAGAAGATTGTAACAGCATACAGCTGGGTCAGCACTGGAGTGTGGCTGAAGAGAGAAACTCCATGCAAGAAACCAAAAGCTTGCTCTCACTGCAATGCATTCAACTGATCCAGATCCAGCAATGCCTCTGTCCCTCCACTGGAAAGATACCCAACTTCTGAAGGCAGCCAAATCTTAGAACAGAAAGGCTGATGCACAACACACTGGTTGATACAACACTCACCTTCCTCATGTGAGTACCAATCAGCTGTTAGGAGCCATGACCTTCGTGCTATCTTAGCTCCAAAGGAAGCTGGTCTTAATTGTGAATTTCTCAAACTTTCTTACGTAGAAATAAAATTTCAACATGTAGCTTTATTTTATCAACCTGTTTTGAGCATCTGTGCTGATTCACATAACTTCTTCTTACTGCTTCCTGATTTCAAAAGATTTTAAACCTAGCAGGGAAGCCAGAGTCTATTCTTATGTACTGTAAGATGTCATATTTCATCCATTTAACCTACCATTGAGCCTAACTACTCCTCTTTGGTTGTCTTGATTAGACACAATGTCAGTCTTGATTTGAAGGTATCAGTCCAGTTTTATGCTTGTGACTAATCATCCTCACCACTAAAAGTTGATGCCTCCCATCCACTCCCCTTACTAATTTCAGGATGTTGGGCTTTATCTGCCAGATACTGGAGATTATTTAAACTTTCTCCACCACATCAGAAACACTTCAGTGTCGAGAACTTTCTCCCTGTTACTTATATGCCATAGTTACGTTCCCACAGTGTCCCTTCTGTGACAGGGCATTACTCTGTCCTTCACAGATAAACTTGAGAATCTTTAAAGCTGTGCAATACTCATATTTCATTACAGTCTACAAAGGAACCAGACAAATAATCCAGCCAAGGGGGCTGTCCTCTAGCTGTACCACCCCCTCAGTTGGATAAAAACCCTCTCACCATTCAACAGCTGACTTGGGAGCTGCTCAACACAGATTTGCTGGACCTTTAATGCCAGCACCAAACATGACCATGACCATTTGAGCAGCATTTTACTTTTTCTGCTCCCAATCCCTAACAAACCAAAACATTCTGCCCTACAATGCCATTTCCCAGTCCCACCCAACCTCACCAATCACATCTCTACCCTACAGACCATGAAAAATCATTCATTAAGGAACTTACAGTGAAAAAGTTAGCAGAGCCTGGCAAGGGCTGGCTGTAAGCAGACAGAATGCCAAAGAGGCCATCTGGCCACCTCAATCCAACCCAAAAATCAGTTTTCTCCCAAGGGAACCATGACACCATCCAAAACAGGAGCTGTAACAGCCTTGTAAAATCCCAGCTGATGGAAAGCACCTGCTTTACACTGTACACTTACTAGGAACTTCTGAGCTTATGCTTGCTGCACGGTGCAAAAAATAAACCTAATTTACACAAGAATGCAGGTCAAATGGCTTTGACTGTGTGTATCTACTTACTGCACACATTTTTCTGGTAGAACTTCTATCCCTTATCAGGGAAGCACAATGCAGAGGGAAAGACGGCGACAAGACAGCAAAGGTCATAATGCAATTAACTCAAAGACAAAAAGGAGCTACCTGAAGCTTAGTATTGTATTTTTTTTCAGCCTCTTTTCCTAGCATTAGCATGTAAAATTAAATTTCAACAAATTCTAGTAGCAAAGAATAAAAAATCCAAATATATGCAAATATATAAATAGCATTTAAAAGGTGTTTTCTGTTGTGGTGTTTAGGTTTGAGGATTTTGGTTTGGAGTGGATTTGGTTTCATTTTTTTGGGGTATTGCAAGCACCTGTCTGTTGGCCATCTCTGGTGACAACTCTTTCCAAGACAGCATGCTGCTATTCTGCTGATCCAGTGTCTGTCAGATTTCTTTCATGACAGCAGCAAAGTGTCGCTTCCCATCTAAATACAACATGGACTCTGAAATAAGGTGGAGAAAAGCGAACTACATTAGTAACTTAGTGTCAGTACGGGGCAACTACACAGATTGGTAAGATTAAGAAGCAATCCATGCTGTCATGAAAGCATCAAATAAACTTGGTTTGCCATGAAACCCTGTTAAATCATTCAAACGCCATTAGTTCATCTATTAGAATGACCAGTGTTCCAACAGCCAGCCATCTTTTCCGCAGAGTTACGACAACAAAGCATTAATTGGATACTTGCCTCCATATGTTTTGGGGACAACCTGTGGGACCTCATTTTCTGATATAAATGTAAAATGGAAGATATTGGTTGTGTGGTGATCCCTGGTATCTGCATCATAAACCTCAGTGTGTACTCGAACCTGGATGTGGTTTTTTTCTGTGTAACAGACCTGCACAGTTAAGACAAGAGTAATAGTTACTAATTTATTATTGGTGCTGACACACTGTAACAGACTTCACTACACTGTTTAACAATCGAAGTCACACGCTCCCATAATGCGCTGTTCATTATCAGTGATTAACAGGGACTACAGCAAAGATAAGTTTATCTCTTTTAAAAAAGAAATCGACTCCTACCTGTCCAGAAAGCAGTAATAAGGATCCAACCTCAACTGGCCTCTGAAACATGATGTCGTCAACAGATACAATAAAAGGTCTGGAACCCCTGAGCAAGAAAAAGAAAAATTTCTTCTCAAGAATAACCAGGGTGTTTGGAGAAGTTTAAAATATTTCCTCATCAGCATTTGAATGAAGGGTTACTACAGAATAAATCTTTCTTAAACAGGAGGCCACAGAAGTGCTAAAAAATTATGTTATCACCCAAGACAAAAATAACTGGAGGCAAACTCTCACACCAATAAAAATACGCTCTCTCTAAGGACATGTTATTCTATCTTATAACTTACACTTGGTAGGCAATCTTTATGCCATCATTGCTTAGGCCTCAGTTTTCCAAGCACTGACATAAAGCACTTCACTTTGCATCAAGCTAGACACACTCCATTAAACTTACTCATAGACCTTTGCTGGCTGATGACTCAGTCACACTTTCTAAGCACAAGCAGCTACTAGAAGAAGTTCAGAAACCATTCCTCTTGTGTACAGAATGAGAAGATGTGATACTTATTTGGCAGAATGTCTGTTTTATATGGTTAGAAAGAAAACATATCTTCAAAAGTCAATCTCAATAGCTTGGTAAGATAAAAGAAAACAGAAAAGGATGTATTTTCTATCTTGCCATGTGATGCTTAACAAGGAGCAAGATGCAAATCTTTCTGTAAATACAACAGATACTCTAAGTAAAATGAGGCTGTGCACTAAACAGTGCAAGATTCCACTAGACACCTACTTCTTTTCTACTCAGATTGTCACTAGGTTGGTTAGCTTGGCTTCCCAACCTATGTGTATGCACCAGTGCTCTGGATTATATAAATATTCCAGGTCTACAACTCACCCATAGCTACAAGCAATTGCCCATCCCAGTTCAAACGCCTTTCTCATGAGAAAACCCCCAAAGATCCTATTGAAGATGTTCCGTTCCTGTATGTGGAAACAAAAAACAAAACTGCTATATTACACACATTATTTCCAAAGCATCATGCTGAAGTCTGCACTTTAGTTCACAGTATTTAACAGAACTCCCAGCATCTGAATATAGAAAAAGCACTACTGAAATATATATATACACAAGTCAAAATGGCTGAGGCAACTTTACTTAATAGGAGCTCATCTGACTCATTTGACAACATAAAACCTCAAAATTGTATCAGCAACCAGAAGCCTAACCTCAACACTTTGCAAAGGAATCTCTTTACTCAAAATGAGTAGTCTGGGAAGAAAAAAAGGTAATTAAAAATCTTCCATTTTGCAGTGGTAACCAATACAGATAATAGAAAAATGGCAAAAGAAACTGAGATCTAAACAGATTGCAAGGACTGCAGAACTAAAACAAAATAATGGATTGATTAATCTTACAAGACAATTCATGAGTTACTGTTTCTGTAATTTAATTTTCAAAATACCTGAGGATGGCAAATCTGTAGGCCTTTTAGCTTTGTATCTTCCATCCACACTGAATTGGGGGGTAATTTACGACTCCGGAAACTTACTGTCCTTTGGAAGAGACAATAAACTTTATAGCCCACATTAGCAGAATTCAGCAAGTCAAAAATGCACAAATAACAAATGCAGACACACACTGAGGGAAAAAAGACCAACAAAACAATTAAAAAAAAAAACCAACAAAAAAAACCCCCACAAAACAGAGACCCCCCCCAAAAAAGTATAAATTCCTTCACCAAAAGCTGTTCCAACTGACACTGAAGACTTACTTAAATGATACTTTGATTTTTACTGCAATAAGCCTATGCTCCTGATCTTTCAAAAATATCTGCTAATGCTCAAGCTTATGTGAATGAACAAGCTCGAGAAAGGTACATGAAAGAAAAGATGAATCACAACCACAAAGCCTGTCAGAAAAAGCCTTACTCTGTTTTCTAAGTCATAACAGGACTTAAAAGCACATAATGAGCTAACAGAGTAATTCAACATCAAACATGCAGACAGTTTGAGGTTTTCAAATCCAGACAGAATGTGTACAAAATAAAACTGCTAATTTTAGGGGAAAGTATGTCTCACTTTGGTAAACAGCTTTGAAAATAACAACTGTGTAATAAGTTAAAGAAATAACAAATTATCCACAAATACATTGCATTAATGCCCTTAGGCATTGTTCTATCACCACTGGCAATGGATGATTTCCCGCAAAGCTCTCAAATATAACAGAAGTACACCAATAACAGTCTCCCTCAAATAATGCTTTCAGGTATTATATTTAAAACACATTGCAAGGTTACCTGACCAAAATATGGCCAGTTCCTACCCTCACAGGTTTTTTTCCTAGGTATCAAGGCAGAAAACTCTCAGACTGTGTAAGTCACACAGCTGCAAAACCATTCCATTCCCTTATTTGGGTAAGCACCTTTAACCCCCTTCCTCAAGATTATTCCTAACAGCTGGCTCAGGAGCTCTTTGTGCTTATACTGTCACTTTTCACCATCTTGGCACAGCTAACACAACAACAGAAGACTCTTTTAAGAGATGCATATGTCACATTAAAATTTGTACCTGTGTTTCAAACAAAATGCCACAGAATTTAAATGGTGAAATGGGAAAATAAAATGTGTGCTTTTATTCCAGACTACCCTCTTACAAGCACCCACTTAAAAGGCACATGACTTTTGCATAAGACTTCAGTTCTCCTCCACCCCTCCCCTTCTTGCCTTGTGTCCAGGGTATTAAGGAATATGTCATGAATAATATTTCTTTCTTCTGCAGTGGGAGCCATTTTCAGTAAGGAAGCAGTGCTGAAATCAATCCTCTTCAGCTTGTTCACTAAATATTTCAAAAAAATCGTATTACAGTTCAAAGAAAAAAACATTTGGCTTGGCTTTGAACATTTTAACCTGGAATCAGCCATCTCTTTCCTTTTCTCTTTTTCCCCCAAAAGCTAAAAGCTGTAACTCCACAGTCCCATAGATTCAAACAGAAATCTGGCCTTTAGAATTGACTGCATCAAAGAAAAAAACAGGCAGTGCTTCACTGATTCCTCACCAATGTGATGAAGACCTTTTATACATAACTATGATAACCACCCATGGCTCCTACAGAAAACTTCAGTATTCCCCTCAAAGTACAGAAAAACATATCAAAGAAGAAACCTAACAGAACAACCAACCTTCTTCGGTTTTTGCCAATGGTACAAGAATCCAAATTTATGACAGACCTCACTACCATAGGCCACAGTGGTTGAAATTTTAGCTTAAAAGATCTGTTCAGTTTATTCAGTCTTTAATGTTTCTCTAATTCTCTTCTTAAATATTCCAGCTTTAAACAAAAGAAGACGGAGCTACACACTTCTTCCCCTGCTCTCCCCCTTTCTTTTTCTGAGTTTCTTCCCAAAATGAACATGGAATCAGACAGGCAGGGAGCTGTGATGCACTCCGCAGGCCCACCATGGGGGCAATCGATCAGCCAGAGCATTAGGAAAGCCTGTGTTGCACTCAGATCTGAAATGGAGCGAGCAGCCTAGAAACCGAGAACTCTACAGGGGTGCAGAGCACATCAGGACTGACCTTATCTGTCAGTTTAGCCAGAGTTCCCAAGAATGTGATAGCAGGCTTTTAAACTCTCTTACACTACTGTCACGAGACAGAACAAAACATTATTTTAAACAAATGAGGAGCATTTCTAAGCAACACTTCTGAAGTTTACTTCCTTATAAAGTTGAACCTGAGGCACATGTGCATACTACCAGGAAGTATGACATACATTCCCCTTGCTTGAAGACTTTTTCTTCCTCAGGGCTCTCAGGAACTAGTGGATTAACAAATGCTGGCCTAGGGACAGGAATTATTTTTTTTGTTACAAACTTCACAATAATTTCTCCTGTAAACACATTATAAGAGTCTTCCACTTTTGCTTACATACACAGTACAAGATGAAAAGAGATACTTCAGGTTATATCATAGAAATAAATAGATTATTTCATATTGTGCAGGTGCCAGCAGAATATCACATTAGCTTTAACTCTCAAAAGGCAGTTAAATGATCCAACCACTATACAGTATAATTAAGAGCAATGCATCTATGCTTCTTAAAGAGCTAAATCTGTACACATAGATTAAAATGAAGATTTGTCAAGCTGTTTAGAAATTCAGCAAATGAAGATGCGACGATGTAGGATAGTCTAAAACAGATATATAAAACTTGAACGGTACCACTCCTCATAGAATAGAAAGTGCACAGTGCTGTAGCTGGCAAGTGTTCTTATAATCTACATGTTCCCGTGGCAGTCTTATCAACAGCCAAAAGCTGTTTACCACATATACCACTTATCAAAGAAGATATGAGGCTGCCTTGAGCACAAATGTTTATTTTGCTGCACAAATAAGTTTACTCTGACCTAATTATATAACATTTATTTATTGTCACAAGGAAAGGCAAACACTTATTTTCAAGAGCCATTCTTCCCCATAATTTCCAGTTATTATTTTTCTATTTTCAACATTTATATAAATGCTCAGAACAATATATATATGCATACACACAAACAAATATCTGCTGAACAATTCAACTCTACCCCAAGACTTTACTTGGGATGATGACAGAGGCATGCAGATAGGACCTTTTAGCTTAGAATAAACTGGTCCTTCCTGGTTTGCTAAACCTCTGTATTTCAGAGACACACCAGCTCCTTCTCCATGATAGAGCTCATTCTCCCTCTCCTCAGCTCAGGACACATCTACATCAGCTGTTCAAGCCCCAGGCTGCTGACATGAGAGTTTGCTATGGCCCAAGAGCTACACAGCCATGTTTCTGTGGCACTGTAACCAACCTAACATACCCTGTCCCTCTCTGAAAGGTTTTTACTTCACATAGAATAAGTATCTTCCTCATACGGACAGAATGCTTCCAAAATACAACTGGCTTGAAGAACAGCAACTGAAGTTTATATCTATTTGCACAAGTCCATATAGGCTTGTCCTCAGTCAATCTGCTAGTGTATAATTACATCAGTTTTGATGTACATCTTTTGCAAAATAAGTCCTTAAAATGAGAACCATAATTATATACATATATTTTAATGTACAGTATGTTAATGGGTTCTAAGAAAATATTATAAATCTGAAGGAAACCAACCTAGTAACTATTTCTGACATTATCAGGACTAAATAATTATGTCAAGAAAACCCCCCTCATTAAATATATCCTTCTTCATTAAATACAGGCAATTATTAAAGCTAGTTAGAAAATCATTTTTTACTTTTGCAGGCTATACAAGAAAGAGGTAAGAAATAGGATCAATTTTTCTGGTGCTAGGAGTCATAAACCAAAACTAAAACTAAGTAGCCTGTTAGTTTAATGACTAAGGAATTACAGAAAGAGTAAAACCAGAAAAGTAAGAAATTTGGGTTGGTTTTTTTTATGTTCTCTGAATACTTATCAGTTCCATGTTACTTACATAAGCAAGTTTTAGACTGAGTTATTCTGATGACACCTATCGTGTCTATTAGGGAATTAATGGCATTATTCACTCAAAGAGTATTTGACCATTAAAACTCAATTTTTTCCAGTTTTATAGCAAGAAAGCAATTAATTCTAACACCTCTCAGAATGCAGGTGGGTTTCTAGCAGACTTATTCACTTCTGTGTTTATATGGCCAGTCATTCAAACACAGGGAAGATCTGATAAAAAAAGGGTCAGATTCCAAGACTAACAGCAATTCCTGGTATCATCTGACTGCTGAATCAATGCTCTGAAGCTTGCCACAGGAAAGTAACACCAGCAAGAAACACTGACTATGTGAACTGTCACCTACACTATAGGCCTTCTACACATACATAGCAAGCTGCCATGTTTGCTATTTTCACCACAGCAGAAACTTTCCTGTCCTACAACTTACCCTTTATTCTCTGGATCCCGGGCCACCATGACAAAGGTTGCATCTAACACAGGGCTGTAATCACCATCATGTAGCTAAGAGAGAGAGGAAACAAATTAGATTTTAAAACTATAATTGTAAATGTGCTTAGCAAGCTATTCAGTTGACGTCAACTATGCCATCACACTGTTAATGTTGTTTACTTTCCGACTCTGTCATCCCATCCAAGATCTCTCATAACAGGTCAAAAAGAATGAAATGACACAAATTAAAACTCTAGTTTCAGGAATTCTGCAATGTAAACATTACACTGAGAATGCTTATTAACTACTACTTTCAGGTGGGTAGGGAGGAAATCAATGTAGGCATTGTAAAAGGACACACTTACCCTTTATTCTAAGAAATGCTAGAACATTTTCTGCCACTAACAGATTGCTACGATTGTCAGCACTGTGAGTTCAGACAATAAAGGTAAAACATTATCTTCTATATCAAAGACTTCACTTAGGGTGGCAAACTGAATAAAAAATATTTACCTGTTTCTCTGAATATGGCCACTAATACCACTTCAGTGCTCAAAGCTAATTTGCTACCCTAAATAATAGCTAAATTAATGCTTCAGTTAACTAATCAATTGACAGTAAATATTCAATAGAAATGTTAAGGATTTTTTATTTTAATTATTAATACTCCTCTTGCTTCCTGCACAGTGTTGCCTTGTTACAACCTTCATTTGTTTTTCTATTATTTGATAGTTCATAACTTACTACAAAAATTGTGCTACACAGTAGATAAGATGAACACAAGAGATACAATTTAATAATGAATCTGAATATCCACATTAAAATCTATAAATTTTAAGGTAAAGGGAAAATAAAGTTTGTCAAAATCAAGGGGAATATTAGTTAAGAACATGCAGAGCACAGCAACCTATTTTTTCTCTAGGAGTACTGTGTTTCAGTTTAATTACAAAACACTGGTTAAGAAAAATGCATGTCTTGAGAGAAAAATTAGCAACAGAGTATCTTGCTGCATCTAGACTAGTGGAAGTTGTCTTATTCTTGAAACACTAGGGCTGCCTCAAGCCTTTTAGAAACAGTTATTCTAGAAAATTTAGTTATTTTAGAAAATTTACATTGCTAATATCATCCAGAATTTCCCCGAAGCACTTCATGCCTGTAATGAAATGGACAGAAGTCACAGGAACTAACCTGCAGCATGTGCATCTTCACTTCCATTGAGGTCTTCCCAACCCAAGAAACATTGCCTGTGAATTTGATGTCACAGTCTGGATATATAATCCTCTTGCACAAATCTACAAGACAAACGTAAGAGGCTGCTACATTACTCACATCTAACATTAGAAAGACTGGATTTTCTAAGACATTTTTGTGTTCTGTAAGTGGCAACACATGCAAAGACAACCCAGAAAAGATGGTTGTTGCAAGGGTCCACACTGCCAGCCTGCAGTTTCTGCCGTGTCAGACTTATAAAGCCAGAACAGGAGAAGGAAGTAGGCACACAGATGGCAGACCTACAGCGGTGTTCAGCAGAACATGTGACACAAGCAAGATCCAGCTTCACCAGAACAAACAACTGTTCAATAATGAAGCTGAGAAACTCACGTGCCAAAATAAAAACAAACACAGAAGTGCAGGAAGCATGAGTTTGTATTTTGAAGGGAAAGGAAATATGAAATGTGAAATGCTGAAAACCCTCTTCCCTTCCCCCTTCAACAAAATCCATAGTACTCAGAGTTCAAAACCAAAACAAGATGAAGTGAACTAAACAGGAGAGTGAAAAGGTATCCTCAGTAACAACTCAAGGAAGGCAATAGCTGCTGAAAGAGTAAGACAAACAGATGAAACCATTTCTACTGACCAAACTGCCACTTACTGATTTTATCCACCAGAGCTGTAACTATTGATAAAGGAGACTTTGGCTGCATCTCCTGCTTGGTGTGAGTGTAGCAAATAAGAACTGTGGAGAGACCAAAAACTAAGTCACCTTTTTAACAAAAACTTCAGTGGAACAGACCAAAACCATCTTTGTGAAGCATGAGAAGTACCTGTAAAACACAAACTCAAGTATCATTCAGAGTACATGACTTCCACATTTTGTGTATGTAACTCACAGGATTGCTATAAAGAAAAATGATTCAGCAGCTATCTCAGTTATATGCATATTTACTTACTACAAATAGAAATGTAATTGACCACTTTAAATCAGCTCCTCGCTCCAGATCCAATTCCACGTAATCTCTTCCCTCTACCCCTGCAGCCCACAGTTTCAGATCCTTCCTAGCTTTTATTTTGATTTCTTGCAGGTTGTCCAAGGATACATGCTGTCTGAGGACTTATTTTCAACTACTGATTCCTTTAAGGAGGTGCAGATTAGATAAAACTGTGCCTTACAGGTATGAAAGCATAGTCAGACATATTTATCACACTGTAATTACTACTAGCCAAACCACTATTTAAATTAATTAGCTCTGCTCATAAGAGCACATCCAAGTAAACAGACTTCTTCGAGTAATACAAGGCTGCAAAGTAGTTTGGTTTTTTTCCTAGTACTCATGTGATTTTCACTCAATACAGATTTCCATAATCAAAAGTATCTGTTTAGACCTAACAGTGAGACATGCAAGAAGAAAGATTTCTGACCTTGCAGGTCATCTAAGACATGTTTCCCTAAAATTACTGAAGTCACAATTCTAAAAATTGTTCTGCCTATCAATTCATGGCCATCAATATGATTAGTAAGAAACTGAATGGGATTTATCAGAATACTGTTGCCAAAGAGAAAAATCTAAAGTCAGTCAGACCTCTATGCAGTATATCTGCTGAGATCAGAGAATATACCGGGCGGGGGGCAGGGCAGAATGAAACAGTACACTGTCCTGTGCAAAGTGCTGACCACCATCCCAAATATTGTGTAATTGGGACAGAATCTTGATTAACCCCATTAAAACAACATATCCCCAGCAGAACTGACTGAAGCCCACTATGATTACAAACAAGGCAAAGATATTTTGTGCTCCAACACAAAAAAAAATGAAGAACTTCACAGATTTCCAGAGAAAATAAACAGGCACAGGGTGAAAACCAGGCTCATCTCATCTACCAATAGAGGGTAGTACCAATAGTTTCAAGTCTCCTTTTCTAATTCAAGACAGGTACTGAAGCCAGCACCTTCCCCGTCCCAGAAAGAAATCTAGTTGTTTTGTCTATCCTCAATAGATACGTGACACACATTCATTTGTTTCTCTGCCTTCCTCAGTTTTGCCCATCTGACTCACAGTCTTTCTTTGCTTCACCCCCGCAAAAAAAGCCCTGTTCCATTCAGGAATTTCTCTTAATAAACACTTATTCTTTGTCAAAAACCTCCATCAAAATGTTCCCAACCAGCTAGAGAACTTTGATGAAGAAAGAAGTCACCTGGTGACATTTTTAGAGAAAAGTATCTCCAAGTTACATTAACAACCTGTCACTTGTTTTAGCTTAAAACAAAAGTCAAAGAACTTGAACTTTTAAAGACCATGAATAAATGAAAACGTGATTGGGGGCGGGGGGGGCAGAAAGATCAAACCCTAACTCATGAAACAACTGAGTCACTTTTACCCTAAACATCAATTTGGAGACAAAATCCAAGAATCTATAGACTGTTTTCCATTTTTCCTCAATGGATAGTCTGTTCTTTCCACATTATAATATCTTCTCCCCAAAGGGAAAACTGAAATAGTTGCACCTCAATATCTGTTAGGTTTTGTGTTGGTTTGGGTTTCTTTTTTTAAAAGCAAACTAATTTGGTTTGATTTGAAATAGCACATTCTACAAATTTTCTGATTTAATACTCAATGCAGATTCATAACCTAGGATCATTTCTCAGTAAATTATTCCTGACCTGCTCCCTTACAAAACTGGCAGAGGCAAGAATGTGAAGCTAAGCAATTTTACTTCTGTCCTTTATCATTCTTCTTTCTCCTTCAGCATCAGTATCTTTTGGGGTTTTTTCCTTCTCCTTTGAGATAGCGTGTTGATGTGATTCCCTCCCTGAGGTCATACTATGCCAAACAGCAGTGAACAAACTCACTTTGTCTGCATTATTTCTGCATTCTTTACAAGGGCGTAGATACATACCTCCTAAACTGTCAAGATCTTCAAGTATCCTTCCAAACCTGTAAGATACAAGGTTTTGACAATTAAATAGCTACATACGTAGTAAATGAAAGTTAACACTATGCTGTATATGTAACATGGTTCCTCTGTTACCTTACGCTGTTGTGTACATTCAGGTACTTTTCTCTTATTTCAGGTTGACTTCCTAGAGGTAGAATAACTTCCAAGTAGCTATCCTTCATCCTCCTAGGAGGGAGATCTTCCTGCCGTTTTGCCAGTAAAGTATAAAGAGCTTTTCTTTCTTGCATTGCTTGCACATGATCCCTGGTAAGGAAAAAAAAACACTGGAGTATGACAACAGAACTGCAACCACAGCTAAAAAATGTCACATTGAAGATTACGAAAATGAAAACAAAACAGTAGTAAAAGCAGCAAGACACAGTAAGCGTGCCATGAAAAGAATGTGAAATGCACATAATGAGATATGCTAAGCAAGACTACTGAAGAAAACATTTACATATTTTTGTGTACAAGTGGCAAGCACATACTTTGCACTAAAGAGATGAACAAAAATTATCTAATTCTGAATGCTACCAAAATGGTTCCCCTTGAAAAGAACAAATCAGGCACAATTTAACCTATGAGGTTTTGTGTATATTTATGTCTTCCATAGCTACCATATCACAACTCTTCCCACAGTCCCAATTTTTGAAGGACTGTCAACTTACAATCGCTCCCAAGAAGTAAAGCATGTACAGTGTTGGTTATCACTAACAACAAAGAAAACTAATCTGCTAAGACTTGCTATCATCCACAGGTGAGTTCTTCCTTTACAGCATCAGTTCATATAGCATACACTTGATCGGCAAGCTATAAGAAAGGGGAAATTAATCTATTTCCCTCTCTCTTCTTACCCAGTCTTCTTATGACCATATCAGAAGGTTATAGAAAGAAATAACACAGGGAAGGGAGCACTATGCCTTCAGAGCTGCTTTTCCAGCACCAAGTAAGAGGGGTTGCAACTCTCACAAAAGAGTAAAGGCCAACTTGCTGTCACTTCTTTCCAATCTACCAAGTTGGTTCCTCGCACAGGTATCTACAAGATACAACAACCTTGCCCAACATTATCTCTTACCTGTTCCCCCAAATGTTTCTCCTCTTAAAAGTGCAACCTGACTGAATAAAGCAAGTATTTCATAACATTCCTAGAATCAACAACAAAGCATTAAGAACCGCTGGGTTAAACATGCAACAGTTCCAGTATAAAGCCAACAAGTATGCAAAACTATGAATCCATTTCATAGAGCAAGAGAAGGCATGTAACCAAACTTAATTTTAAACTTGTGGAAATGTGTCATTCATTCAGTTGTGCATGCTGCATTGCTGAGACCTGAGTGCCATTGTGTTTAACAAAACCAATTAAAAATACATAAATAAAAAGAAAGAAAACAACAGAAAGAACCTTTTCATCAAAAATAATGTATGTCTTAAGTTTTGACTTTGGATAAATTCTGGGAATTAGCCATTTAAGATGAAGACTTTTTTGCTTTGAGTTTTATTTTTGAAAGAGAAGTACAAAGCAGTCATGCTGCAACATATTTATATTCCCTCTTTTCTGTTTAATAATTTGGGGAAAAATATTAACAATCCATGATCAAAGAGAAAAAAAGTCTAGCAGAAAATCTGTTTGTTTGTTTGTTTTAAATATGAAATATGGTTTACCACATCTGAACAACAAAGCTACTGCAAAGTTCAGAGAAAACAGAAAGATAACAACCTCCTCCAGGGGGTTAATGTTTGAAGTAATGCCACTGTATAAAAATAGAATATATTAGAGGACAAAGGAAAGATGCAATGTCCAAGATGATTCACGTTTATGCTTTTTAAAAGATTTGTTTCTAAGGTCTTTCAGTGAAAGGTTTCAGAGAAATTATATCAGAGGGTAAATCTTAATCAGAGAGTAAACCAGAAATTTGTCTACAAGCACATAGAGACCAAACAATAAAAATTTAACTATGTTCTGTTTTCACCAGTGCCATCCTGGCTCCTCTGAGGTCAGCAGCAGAACTCTTCTTGACTTCAACTTCAGAATGTGCTCTTCAATATACAGAAGTATTGGTCTCAAGGCAATAACATTTTTCAACAGACAAATACTGTTACACACCACAGTACCAGTCATACAGTAACAGTAGTTGATCTAAGTATTAACTAATGCCTGCCCTAAACATTCTGAGAAATTACACTATTTATTTCTGAAATGGCCACAACTCCATCTAGACTGTAATTAACAATGAGCAGATTAATAGTTTTAATTACAATTTAAGTACAAAACCAGAATAAATATATGCACAAAATATTTCTTTCTGATACAAAATGCTACTGGCCTTTACAAGAGCAATCACAAACCAAAGTTTCCTTTTAGCAAATACAACAGCCAAAGGCATTCCTCCAACATGCATCTATCTCTCCTCTCTCCCAGCAATACAGCTGTATGTGCATCCGTCCTTCCCTAGTTCCCATTTCAGGACCCCTGTCTATCAAGCTGTTCTCTTAGGTTTGTCCCCTTCAGCCATTCTATGGCCTAACTTAACTAAAGCAGCAGGTGTTCGGTGTCCACATGTATCAACTCTTTGTCACTCCATTTTAACAGTATGATCTCAAAGGCAACATGATCCTTGTCCTTCAGATCGCCCGTATTAACCCTGCCATTCTCATGCGCTCCCAGCTATGGGGTCCCCAGCTTTATTTCTTCATAGTAGTTGAAGCATACAGCACTCCACAAACCATTTCTGCTGTAATTTATACACCACAAGAGACATACCTATCTAAGAAAAACACTGTTATGATGATCCTGGCTTCAGCCTACTCTCTTGCCAGGGTTGGAGCAGTGCAGAAAAAGAAATTGATAGAAGATCAAGTTTTTCCAGAGCCTCTAAAATCTTGATCCTCAGGTAGTATTTCCATATGGCGAGGTTCCTTCCCAGACATTCTGGGCTGCAGGAAAGGTTCTTTTAAGTGCCCTTTTCAGCTGACCTACTAAAAATTTCAAGCTCTCTCATGCTTAGACAGTAGTCTTACTAAGCAAAAATCAGCTTTCCAGATACAGACATTTTCTTTAGTGTGACTCTAATCCTGTCTAGATAAACCTAGTCAGAAGGCCTGTACGCATTAGACACTCCACTCAGGCAAGCATCTCTTCATTTCCCTATCAGTGCACAAAGTGTGAAAGAAGAACTCAGCAAACACAGCCATAAGAAAACTAACAATCAATACAATGAATATGGCAACAATCAAACTGCAATACATAATTCCCCCAGGCTATACTGACTTTAAGAACTGATAACAGTGGAGGATTGCAGTCAACTCTGGCTTATTCAATGTAATGGAGGGGGAGGAAAGTAACCTGAATAAAGCCAAAACATCAATTATTTAAACTGTACGTAAATTAATATTAAACTACAGCAGAGAAAAGCACAGCCCAAGATACAGCTGACTAAGGAGACCCCAGTCCTGAGCTGACAATTTTCCAAAGTGACATGGGTGCTGCCAGGCCATTCATAATGCAGCCTGCTTCACACTGAGCCAGCTCAGCCGCCTCTGAATCCAATGCAGGATAAATCCACCAGCATGCTGGTAATCCACCAACAAATAACTCAAGAGCAACCAACAGCAATGTAACATTTCCAGCCAGACCCTACAGCTCTTACACTTTCACTGGATTCAAAGCTGATGGGAGAATCTTGTAAGCATTAAGATCACCTATTTTCTTCCTTTGGTGATACAAACCTTCTTGTGATCCACAAAGTAACAATTCAGAAACATCGTTTGCATTACTTTTTAGCTGAATCTTCTTTCTTCCCCAGTCAGCAAGCTAACATTGTTAACTTCCACTTCCACAACCCTGAGCTCTGCCTGGGTTTCACAGATAAAGTAAAATACATTTAATGTACACTGTACCTCCAGTTGGTGGATGCTCCCACTATTTCCCTCAATCTGCTTCGCACTGGAAAAAAAAAAATCAAAAGCAAATCAAGCTTAGCTCTGCAAGTGATGAACATGAGGTTGAGATTGCCTGGTGCTAAAAGGCACCGTCCTCATCCCAGAACAGAAAATTCAGCAAATTCATGCAATAGCATTCCAGAAAAAAAAGTCTAGCCAAATTCTCTGATGCTGTTAGTAGGCATATCACAATAATGGGTTGAGTAACATGATTCCGTAGCTTATTGTGTTTAGCCAACAAAAAGTGTTTGTTAATGCAATCAAACACCTGCAGTGCTAATTAGCAGTTGAACGCCACAGTGGATCAGGATCAGGTTGAGAAATTTTGATGTGAAAATATTTCAGCCTAAACACAAACAAAACTGTGGAGATAACACAAATCAGAAAGCCATAAAAGAACATAAACAGGAACAGTGCAGCTGGGAGACAGGGAAGGAGGAGAGTACATTTTAAATAATCCCACCCACGAAGGCAGGTAATGGCATCAGACTGGCTCTTGACAGCAGGGTTTCACAGACTAAATTTTTATCATTCTCAAAGAACACATTGTTAAGACACTGAAGACAGGTCTACAGAACTGGTTCCTGCACTATTTGCAGTATCAGAGTTAATACAAGTTCTCCACAAGTTTTTCCTAAATTTCAAGAATAATCTGCAAAGCAGTTTCTCTGCTCTTACCTCGGATGAGGTTAAGTGTGCTAACATCCCACCAACTCTACCAAACTACATCATCACTATTAAGCAGGTAAATGTATGCTATTTGGAAACACTTGAAAACAAGCAGCAACAATTCCCAAGCTCAGGGCAGAAGCTGAGAATTGTATAGTTGGGATTCCTTGCTTATTTACAAAGATTTTTATGCAAGGGGGTTCACATATTAGGACAAAATAGTTAGGTTCACATCAAGGAAGGGCTACCAAAAAACCAAACAAACAAACAAAAAACCCCAAAATTTCGATGAAACTGAAAGAGGGCTGCTGGATCTCAAGGTAATTATTTATACTCGCAGGTTATTACATTTGGCACTTTTCAAGCTAAATGCTTGGTCAGTGTATTCGCAGTGACCAGCAAGCTGTCCAGTGAACCCTGGAGCGAGCAAAGCCCGATTTCCTCAGTATTTAAATCATATACCCCTCAGCCGGATTTGCTCGGCTTTGCCCCCACTCCTCCACACACAGCCACTTCAGTTTCTGCTGCTTTCCAGCCCAAGTCCCCCACACCATCACCACCACTGCAACAACCTCCCTTTTATTCCTTCCCCTACAACACCTTCAGCACCCATTCCTGCACTCCCAGCCTAATTCTATTGTGCCTGCCCCCTAGACAAGCACCAGCATGAGCTACAGTTAGCCCAGAGATAAGCAAGGGGCTGAACACCAGCGAGTCAGCACAGAGATCCTAGTCACTTGCCAGCTGCCAGCAAACACCATGGTCCATGGCTGACCCCAACACTAGCTCCGGCACCCTAACAAACCTCTGATTCAGAAGCCAGTTTTCACAAAGATTGTGGAAACACGTTTATCTTCATCTATTTCGGCTGACATCAAGCAACAACAGGTTCTGGAAGAAGAGGGTGACAAGGAGATAGATGAAGACAAAATAGATTGCTTAGGCCTCATTTCTTTATGAAATTAGGCTAAAAAGGTCTTTTGAAATTAGAAAAGTTTCACTACAATTCTAAGGAAATAAAAACTATGAAAGAAACTGATTTCAAATCTTAGAGTTAATTTTTTTTTTTTTTTTTTTTGACAGGGGAAGGTCAGATTCATTTTTCTTAAGCAACAGCAGGCTTGTTCACAGCATAGGTACTACTTTCCTGTTACTCACACTCCACCTGTGAAGCTGCCATAGCATGCTTTGGATCTACACAGTGTTAGTAGAAACACTGTTACAGCTTTTAGAACACAAAACCTCAATTCTTCCAACAGTGTGCAGACTGTGCTGGGATGGAGGGGGAATATACAGCATCTTCTCTTTGTTTAAACCAAGTTCATCTTTCTTTTCAATTCTAAACAGGTAAAAAGCTTTGAAAAAAAACCTCTGGTCCAAACCTGTAAACATGTATATATGTCATTAGTCCCATTTAATACTTCTGATTTCAGTTTTAGGCATACAAGTGAACATTCGCCAGGCTGAGACCACATACTTTTTATTTTAACAATAAAAGGGACAAAGCATAAAAGTGTTTCTAAAACGATGCCAACCTAATTTTACAGGTTCATAAGTACATAGTTTTTTTCTTCCCTTCCCCTGGGGAAGACTACATTGCTCTTACAACAGAAATTTAAGTAAGTTATTAAGCACAGAAGTCCATAAACTTTTTCTCTTTTCTTATCTGGCAAATGTCTTAAAAGTGCAAAACAATTGCAGCAGACGGGGCTTATCCATCATTGCACATTTCACAGTATCTCCTAAACTCTGATCAGTGGATCATTAATGTTGGAGCAGCAGGGTCTGAGTATATTTGCACTGCGACATGAAGAAGGACACAAGGGCAGCTGGACAAGATCATTGCATTCATCTCTGCCCGTGAGATCCGTGTCCTCTTGTGCCAGTGTCTCTCCAGGCTGTATCCACGTTCACGTAGACCGCTATGATATATTTTACTGCCAGTATAGTATAGATTGGTCTGGACTTAATGAAAGATACAGATTCAAATGTCTACCATGAAGCTAAGTACTGCAGGAGTTGCTGCATAAGAGATTTTGTATCCCACAAGCCTCTTGGAAATGTGTTATCCAGCATGCCACCAGAAATACAGTGTGCTGACAGAGATCTAGGACAACAACACTGCCACAGAGCCACTGAAGGCCAAGAGGCTTTAAGCAAGTCAAAAGAGAAGAGTAATAGCATTCCATTTTTAATTAACGCTAAAGTAAGGAAAAACAGTAGCTGTTTAGTTTAGTGTTATAGCAAATATTTTAATATGTACAGATTACCACAACACACCATTATTCACATGAAGGGGTAAGTGTCCTGTGGAGTGGAAAACACAAGTTAGATGAACAATTAAAAGAAACAATGCAAACTACATCTAGTAAGGAGTTACCTGATTATTTTACCTGCTCGAGTTCCATTTAAGCATATGTCCTGCAATTTTAGGAAGCAACTGTAGGCAACCTGTCTTTGCCTGATTTACACTCAGTATCTTTGTGGTTTTAACTGAGTTCATCCATTCCTTCAAAGACAGCTTTGTGGTTCCTTTGTCTACTGGCTCTGTGTAGTATCTGTTTGCAGTGTAATTCCAATCAGTTTTTCAGACTCAGTGTTACCATGTGCTGTTGACAAACACTACTAACTTTGGAAAGAGTATCTGGAGGATTTTTCAGAAAGTGGGATGAGACTTATCTCAGAGAAAACTTCCAAAGTCCTGCTTCATGTAGCCTTTGGGAGAACCATGGAAGAAGTGAGGACATTCACAACCGAGACCCAAAGTTGGGAGGAAGCATATGAAAAGCTAGTAAGTATTTGGTGTTTCATGAAAGCATAGATACCAAATTAAAGGAAACTAGTTTACATATCAGCAAAAGTTTGTGTAATATTATTTGTTACAATCTTGGAACAGAATCTCATATATTTACAGTTATAAAGTCCACGGAATATTAGTATTCCTTGAAAACAAACCAGAGGCAAGGCCAGCATGGCTTCACAGCTTCACTATTTTTACTGGCCTTCTAGATGGTATCATTATCAAATATCCAAATAGAGAGCAGGGTAATATTTGCAAGAATGCAATATTCTGTACCCTTGCTTCTTTCCTCTATCATTCCAAATTACTATTTATTAACTATAATGAAAAGAAGTTATCTAACAATTAATAACCCTCATTTTCTCTTGTACTGGATAACATGTGATTTCTATTTAGAGAACAAAAGGGGAAAGAAGATCTCAGAAACAAGCAGAACTCCAAGACCATGAAGGAATTATTTGTACCTGGCACCAGCCCTTTTCCTCCTCCCCTTTTCTCAGTACCTGGGATTAGAATGCAAGAAAACTTTTTTCAAAGCTTCTGCAGCAGGAACATTATGGCTTATTACTATTAGAGCACCAAAACAATCTTTCAACACAAAGCTCCATTGACAAGAGCATTTTCACAAGGCAATGCTGCTGATCTGATTAAAAGATTTCTCTAAGTTACAAAATTAGTGGTATTAACACACTAAAAATTCTGTAAAACATCATTTCCACTCAGGTCCTCCATTTGTTGGCCATTTTATATTCCCCTGGTTTCTACCTATTTAAAAAAAAAAAAAAAAAGTAAATGTTTAGTTAGCAAAAAAAAAGGATACTATAGAGTCAAAAAAGATCAAGGGCAGGTTTAAAAGGCCATTAATTTTTTTTTTCTGCTCCCCAGACTTTGCTAATTCAGGGCTCATGACCTGTGTTGCACTTGAACCTTTGATTATAACTTCATTTATGGTAATGAATGTCAGTTAGAAAACAGCAATGTTCCTTACTCTGCCCTTTCATTTTATTCCTTCTGCCATAGGATCAGACGAGGCTTTGAGCAGCCTGGTCTAGCAGATGGTGTCCCTGTCCATGGCAGGTGGTTGGAACTAGATGATCTTTAAGGTCCCTTCCAACCTAAACCATTCCATGATTCTATGTGTCTCTCCAGTGGCCATAGTACCTTTCTGTACTACGTTGCCTTTCTGTGGAGAGCCAACTTGAGAAGCAGTTGTCCCCGCAGAGGAAGAATCACATGTACTGACAAGACTAAAGAACCAGATGGGAGATGAGCCTCCAAATCTACAACTTCAATGACTGTGCATATTTGTTGCCATTAACCTCCAAACACACATAGAAACATTGCTACGTCTTCCAAAGTACAGCCAGTTACCTTACCTTCATTCATGTCAGGAAGGTCTGGGGAGCCAGTGGTCCCAGAAGTGAGTGTCCGAGCCAGAAGAGAATGAAGCTTCCTCATTGTCCACAACCTATAAACAGAAAAGAAGAATTTACTGTCATTAAAACTAATGCCATGAAAGTAGTTTAGGATTTATTTTTGGAATGGTGCTGATTACTTTAGAAACCACACTCTTTATTTTTATCCTGATTTTTAGAACCACATACAATCAGCACAACAGTTCCAAGCCAGCTGAAATTTCAACTCATTTCGGTCCTCTTCTGAAAACAGGAAGAATGATTCACTGGTAGTAACTGTTATCTTCACTGACTCAGTCACTCAGATGTCATGGAACAAACAGCAGCTTCTATCCTGTAGACAGGTCCATGTGCATCTGGGAAATCATCCATGACCTTAACCATAAACTTGTCCTGCATTTGGCAGGCGTCCATAGCAGTGGAAGGTGGAATACCCCAAGAAGGATATCACTAGGCCTACCACACAGTCCCATTCAGCTAAGCCCGGTCTTTTCCTCTCTGGCTTACTACTGCTGCAACTCAGAACAAGCCTAGTGTGCAGGATACAATCCTCTTAGCTGTTCAGTAAGAAGGGACAACCATGAGAACCCTTCAGAGAATGTAATCCACCCAACAATTCATAAGAGTTCAACCAGGTGGTAGCCAGTGTGATTCTTCCAGGCAAGCAAAACTGGTAGCACAAAAACATGCAGAGGGTCAACAGGAATAAAACCCCTCATGATAATTCACAGTGTTATCCTGGCAAGGCATATGAACTCTGTCCCTTAATTTTATTCATCTTAGGCTGGGGTTTCACCTCAAAAAAGAGGCAAGTCCCCAGGCACCAGCGGAAAAGTAGGGCCACATACTTATCATGGAATCATAGGATGATTTGGGTTGGAAAGGACCTTAAAGCTCATCTCGTTCCAACCCCCCTGCCATAGGCAGGGACACCTTCCACTAGACCAAGTTACTCAAAGTTCCATCCAACCCAAGTACGTATCTACACGTATATATCATGTACACACAAATTTCCTCTTGTCTGCAGGTATATGAGGGGTACTTAAGACAGCAAAAGGGAACACACACACAAAAATAACCCAACTCAGAAGCCAGCATTCTCGTACACACCAGAGATGCCATGAATGGCAATGGTGAAAACTGTGTAAGTGGTGCAGCCTCCGGACCTGTGGCACAGCCAGGGAATGACTCCCAGCTCAACCCCGCGGGACCCTGTCACGCCCGGTGCCATTTCAGGCGCCCTGAGCAAGGTGACAGGCGCTCCCCGCACCGACGGGCCAGCACGGACAAGGCCAAACGCCATCACCCAAAGCTCCAGGCAGCCACGCCCGGCAGCGCCCTGCCAGCCATCGCACGCTT